TGTTCAGGATGCAAGCAAAGTACTATGTCATAAGCTAAACTGCATGTTCAAGCATGGCAAAGGTGCGAAATGTACGAAAAATACAGAAAATGAAGTAAATACCTCTCGGGCCTCATGAGAGAGGTGATGCTCCGGCTCTCGGAGAAGCAGATCCCCGGGTGCTCGCTCGTCAAAGCTAGTAAAGTGACGGAAGACAGCACGAGGGAGGACATGTGCTGGCGGACGGTACCTCCCGGGAATAAAAGGTCGGGTCCTCAGAGGTAGAGTCATGGGATCGAAATCATCTCCGGCGCCTGGAAAACCTCCGCCGTGGGGAGAATTACCCGCCATTTTTCAGAAGATCTGCAAAAGGAGCAAAAATGAGCGCCGTGAGGAGAATTACCCTTCATTTTCAAAGAATCTGCAAAAGGAACAAAAATGAGCGAAAATGTGCCAAAATTGGAAAAAGTCAACAAAAGTCAACTCCCGAGAAAATCTTCCAAATATTGAGGCAAACTTACCTCAAGTGGCGAAAATGCGAAAAGAAGCTCCGAAACCGAAATCTAATCGCTTCAAAGTGTTTAAAACTGAATGTTTTTGCGGAAACAATTTGCATGGGGCGTTGGAAAACGCGTATGGAACTCAGATCTGGAGAAAAAAGTGTTGTAGGAGGCAAGAAAGGAAGAGATCTCGGCTACATTATATAGGCCCCAAGTCTTGGATTGAAGGAGCATCAAAAAGGAGGTGAAAAGACCAAAAAGCCCCCGGATTTGGGCATATGGCCGGCCGGCCCTCTTTTCTGGCCGGCCAGCTATCTGCTTTTTGGAAAAATGGCCGGCCAGCTATCTACTTTATGGAAAACCGGCCAAAACAAGCTTGAGTCAGACCAATAAAAGAGAAGAGCACTTAGATCAAGTGTTGTAGGAGGCAAGAAAAGGGAAGGTCTCGGCTGCCTTATATAGGCCCCAAGTCTTGGATTGAAGGAACATCAAAAATGAGGTGAAAAGACCAAAAAGCCCCTGGATTTGGGCATATGGCCGGCCGGCCCTCTTTTCTAACCGGCCAGCCATTTCCTTTTTGGAAAACTGGCCGGCCAGCTATTTACTTTATGGAAAACCGGTTGGCCACCTCCCCTTGGGAAGATAAACGGCCGGCCATGTCCCCCACATGCCCACCTAGCTCCCTGCAAATTTTGAGGAAGATCGGAGTTCCCGGGACCTGAAAAAGTTCAAGAAAAGTACACTTCCGGCCGCAAAATTGCTCCGCCGGGACTTCGGCTTCAAGATCTGACATGTGTCTCATCATCATCCATCGAAATCAAAGTGTATCCTTTTTGAATGAGTTGTAACCTTTCAGGGAAGCGGACAGCAGGCCGTGATCAAGTCGCCTTCGCCGAAACGCGCATTTCCATACTCGTTATTTCATGACAAACGGGCACCC